TCTTTGATCTTTAAACGACTCGAATAGGTACGAGACTCGTACCTACTTTAGTAACGGTCCACATCTATGTTGCTTTCTTTTCTCCCTATCTGTTGTCGCCCGTGCCTCTTGGCTATTTATTGCGTTTTGACCTTTTGACCAGTCCACGTGTCATGACACGTCATCTTCAATATTCAGACTCAGTTTTTTCCCAATACACCTAGGAAAACAAGATCTAGGATCGAGCCCCTCTTAAATGACAATAATTTGGTCATTGATGAATATGTAACGATAAACCATGAATGCAAATATTTTCTGCAATGACTGCCCATTTAATGTTAGGGAATATTCTTCATTGAATGCTAACATTCAAACCGCTAACGTTGACCAGCTCCCTTCAGAGTTTATCCGATATTAATTGCAGCTTGTTGTTCCCGGTACATATGGTAACTTGACTTCGCCTTTAACCTGTCTTTGGTTCCACGTGGCATCCTCTTAACTTCTTCCCAATATTTATTTATTTTATTTTTGATTTTTTTTGGTAACTGTGATTGATTATTTTTTTCTTAATGAAAAATCCCATTTTGCCACTAACGGACATAAAAGAAACCTTTAGAACTATTGTGTTTCTTTTTCAAATATCTTAAACTACTCCGAGTAAACAATAGAAAGTGAGACCATCTATCTATCTATCTATATAAATAAATATATATATATATATATATAGCCATTTATCTTTTTTCACAATTTTTTGAGATTTCTTTCCTATTTTAACCATTACTTCAATAATAATTAACTAAGAAAAAACGAAACGTTTACGTTGAAAAAGCACCATCTCACTTATAAAAGAAGTCTAACAGTTTCTTCTTCCATCTTGATAAATGAGAAGCCGTTAAGTTTACCTCCTTTTACATGTTTTGATCTTATTTTTTTCTCTTTCTCACCTTAAAGTTTATCCGTTCTTTCCGTTTTGCTGAATAATACATCATTATGATCCATAAATGTAATTTTTGGTTATTATTTACATTCGTTCCGTTTTACAGAAGTATTTAATGTACATTATTATGATTCATGAATGGTAGTACCCTTTATATATTACTGTATTCCATGGGCTTTGGAAATCAAGTAAATGGAAAAATATTCATAGGTCCGTGAAACAAATTATTGAGTGAAGAGCAAAGATATCTTATTTTCCGATTCTTCAACTATCATTTCTCGAGAGAGAGATATAGAAACATACAACAATTACCATCCAATTTCCCTATTGCTTTTTTTTTTCTTTTAAATCGGTAGAAATTTAATGTTATTCTCATTTATATATTTCTCTGATTTAGTGGATGTAATTTTATTTACCCAATTTTATTTTTTGGTGATTCACTGATGTATTATTTTTGGCTGATTATTATGGTTTTTAACTGGTATTGCTCTCTTCTTTCTTTGGGACCTAGAAGCGTAACTTCTTATTTTGATCTCAATAGTATGAGTTTTGTTAAAGTGAAAGCAGGTTTGTCAAGGTATTGCAATTTCTTTGTCAATTGTTGTGTAAGCATATTTGCTAATTAGTTGGTAATATTAAGGACTATATCACTAATAGTAAGTTTAGATTTATTTTAACATAAGCTTTGTCAGATAATTTACATATTTTTGGTGTCCTTATCTTATAGAGGGGCTGAACAAGTCTACCTCCCTTTACAAAAATTGTGAAATACAGTAGCAGGGGTACTTTATTCCGATATCTCCCCCGAAAAATGAATTAAATGATATTTTGTTTTATTTTATATGCTTTTTATCCCGTTATTTTGTACAATTTAAAATTGTAGTAGATGAAATAACGCAGAGTTATAGTATAGGATTCAATAATTATATATCTTCTTTCTTTCTATAAATTGGTTGTCTCTTTACTCGAGCTTACTCCATTGTCTTTGTTATCTTTTGGATTAACCGTACATAAGGAGAGGAAAGAAAAAAACGAAGAGGAAAAGATTAAAATAAATGCAGTACCAAAGTAGGATAGAAAAGAGGGTAAAAGAGGATAAAGAGGAAGTCGGCAATAGGGTTCATTTAGATGATAGAGGGAGATTAATGAATAGAAAAAGTTAGAAAAAGAAGAATAATGAAAGAAAAATAATGTAAAAAAGGAGAGCGAACACAAAAACTTATTTCCCCGCTATTTTGGTTTATTTTTACTTTGTTTCTTGTAATTTTAATTGAATAGAAGAAAGTTCATCAAATAAAAAATTTACTATCTAATGATAGCAACAACAAAAAAAGTTCTTAGATACATATATTTCAATTATATTAGAGTAAGGTGTATAAATCTTCCCATACACACAGAATGTATGAAAATATATCGTTCATTTAAGATCTAATTCTGCTAAGAGTATCCATATATTGATTTTATCTGTATGTACACTTAATTTTCTTATTCAAATAGTTGAAATTTTTATTTCATCTGACTAAATATATATAATTTTTAAGTTTAATGATGTTTTATCATAATTCCCTAGTGGTTTAAATAAAAATATCTCCCCATCGTGACTTATATGAGACTTCAAAATGCTTGACGTGGAAGGCGAATGAAAGAATCTATAAGGAAAAGAAAAAAGGAGAAAGAATCAGACGGCTCAGATTCACTTTCTATTTCTTCCCATCCCATTAATTATCTCTCCACCCCCTCATTCCATTTCTTCTTCAAAATCTCTCCCATAATTCACTCTTCTATCTCTGAAAACACTAACACCCAAAAAAGAACATTTAAAAAGAAGAGAAAAATGAAGGGGTGTTATTATTCTTTATTTTATTTACAGGAATTAATTTCTTTTAAGAAGAAGAAGATAATGTAGGGTAAAAGAGGACGTCCACCGATGAGGAGGATAACGAGCATGATAGGGATCACCGTTGATATAGGGACAGGGACTGGCAGTGAACAAGAGCCGTCTGATAATAGGCCTAAAGTTATGGTTGATCATGATCAGTTTAAGGGTTCATCAGAGAAGCAAGTAATGATGAGCAGTACTGCAAGTGGTATGGCGGCGATGGTGTCGCCGAGATACCAAAGGAGAATTTCAGGCGAAGGATTTCAAACAGAGACGGCTAATTTCTTGAGAACTTGTGTGTGAGGTCCACACCTCACCAACCAAAAGAAGAAGATTAAAAAAATTGGACAAAATAGGCTGCTTGAATGCATATGGGCGGCTAAAGATTTCAATTTGCAATTTGCAATGCAATAAGTTAAATTTGTGTTGCTAAGTGGTTGGCAAATTTGCCTATAAATAAAGATGATTCCCACTCAGTTAAGACACACCAAAATAAGAGAGAAACAATAGAAGTTAGAGAGAGTAATCCACAGATTGTTGTCTGTGAGATAACTAGTGAGTGGTAGTAATATTGTTTTGAGGTGTTTTATATAAAGAGTGTTATTTCTTTCAAAGTTGTAGTAGTCTCTTAACACTACTGAGTTGTAATATTATAGTGGTAATATTGCTACACTCGGATATTGTATTTTATCCCGCTAAAATATTTGGTATCAATGTTACTCTCTTGTGTTATTATTATTTGTCGTGGATATTATTTCTGGGCGGGATTATTTATTTTATCCCAACAACGTGGTATCAGAGCCATGGCAAATAATGGTCCGCTATCTTTTCAGTACCCCCGTCTGACAAAAGATAATTATGAGAAATTGTGTCTACGTATGAAAGCCATCCTTGGCTCTCAGGATGTATGGAAAATCGTAGACAGAGGGTATGCAAAACCTGATAATGAGGAAGCTCTGCCCCAAAATGAAAAAGAGGTCTTGGCAAAGACAAGGAAGAAGTATCAACAAGCCCTCACGTTCATCCACCAATGTTTGGATGATGCTATGTTTGAGAAGGTGGAAGATGCTACCACCTCAAAGGAAGCTTGAGAGATTTTACAAAATTCTCTTCAAGGAGTTGACAAGGTGAAAAAGGTAACACTTCAAACTCTACGGGCTGATTTTGAAGTTTTAAAAATGAAAGAATCCGAATGCATCTCGGATTATTTTTCAAAAG